TGTATGTGTACAAGAGCAGGCATCCTTGGATCCAAGTGCTTAAGGCAGCCCCCAGGAGAGGGGTGGGGCCGGGAACCGCCCTCCCTGAGATGTGGTCAGCGAGAAGAAGCCGTCAAGCTCAGACTCCCTGAATCTAGCCTCCTCCTCTGCAGTCGAGGAGGCACAGGGCCGGGGAGGCTGGTCCAGGTCACACGGGGCTTAGCGGTGTCTCCTGCCCCCACAGGGCACTGGTCTTCCTCCAGAGGCCTGGCCGCAGCCTCCTGATGACCCGCAGGGACAGGTGACCTTCGGTCCGAACGTCCACCAAAAACCTTTCCTCATCTTCAAACAGCATTGAAAACAATGGCTGCTCTCTTACAGCGCTGAGGGGAGAAGTAAATTACTTAGTGAAGGTAAAGAGCTCAGAACAGTGCCGGATGCATAACAAGCTCCCAATAAATGGGAGGAAGGGATGGTGCTGTGGTGATGATGATAAAAGATGCCACTGCTTGAAAGGACACCCTCAGGGGACACGGGGTCTGAGTTTGCCCTGGCTGCTCTGAAGCCACCGAGCTGGGCAGCCCGTTGGGAGGCGGCTCTGGTTGAGGGGCTGCCTGCCCCTGGGTGCCGGTGCCATGGGAGCAGCAGTGGCCCTGGTTTGCCAACTCCACACACACAGTTCCCGGTCTGTGCCAGGAGGGCTCCCTGTGACTCATGTCCGGACCCTCACCCAGTCCTGCATCACCGCTGGCTCAGCCCCGCCTGCCTGGCCGTCTCAGGCCCCCAGAGGGGCCAGCACAGAGATACCGCCTGTCACAGAGCCGCCTGCCCTGCCCGCTCCTGCCTCGCCTGGGGTGGGTGTGAGTCTCCAGCAGCTGACATGCACACTGCCTCCTCTGGGCTGGGGCACACTCCTCCCGCACCTCACACACTCACTTCACACACTCGCTCACTTAAGCCTGGGAGACCAGCCTGCTCTTAGCTCCATTTGAAGAGGAGAAAACTTAAGTGATTTGCCCAGGGTCACAGAGATGGGGAGCCAGGCAGGCTGGCTCCAGACTCCGCACCCCTAACAGCCACACCCGACTGTCCTGAGGGGACCCCTTTCCTTCCCCCTTAGGCCCGGGGGGGGGGTGCGGGGGCTGGCCGAGGCTGTGTGAACGAATGGAATGAACGCCTTGGTTCCTGGCCGGCACCCATAGGACAGCTTTCCCAGGCTGCCCTTGTCATGCCATCACCATCCCACCCCTCCCTCTGGCTGGTGGGGGAAAGCGCTCCCTGCCCACTTGGTTCTGTGGTTTCCGTCCAGAGGTCGGAGTCTCTGTTCTTGTGCCCTTCCCAGACTCAGGCCTCTCCAGGTAGCTCCAAACACGCTTCTTATGATCTCCCCCACTCCACACCCCTCACTATTCACCTATCCCTCCCCACTTTGTGGGGTTTTAAGAGAGTTGCAGCGACTCTTCTCATTGGCTGTGGAGCAGACATCTGCAAGGAACTGGCCAATCAGAAGCCTTCCTCTGCCCCACCCGCAACACCGCAGGTTGGTTCCCTCTGGGGCAGGCATGCTGAACAGAGTAGGGGGGTGCATAGGGCGAAGGGTTTGATGGGGAGCAGGGACCCTGTCTAGAGAGGCCAGGCACGAGGAGAATGTGCTCAAGCTGAGCTGGGACAGAGGCCAACCCAGCACACGGCCTCTCTCTCCCCCAGCCTTGAATGACGAGGTCCTCTTTCTGGAGTGTGTTACATACAAAGGATGCCACTCCCATACCTTCAGCGATCTCTTCCTCACCTCCGGTTACCTCTGCGCAGCCTGTGGGCCTTAGGCAGTGGGCATGGGCCTTGTTACTCACTGGTGTTTGTCCCTGGTCCTGGCCTTAGTCCCACTTAGGCCCAGGCCAGATGGCACAAGCTTTGTCCGCAGCCAAAAGGCTGCCCCTGGCCCAGTTCAGGAGGGCCCTGATGCTAACGGGTTTGCCCACAGGAGCCCCTGACCCCTGTGACGCTATCTGTAGGATGGTGGACGGGAGCAGAGACCAGGAATCCAGCTGCCCAGGTAACCCTCAGGTGCTGGCTGGGTTTGGGGACCCGGGTGTGGTGCGGAACACACCATTATGTTCTGATTGGTAGCAATCCTGGGTGAGAGATGGACATGCTCAAGTAAGATGCTCTGCAAACAGAAGTGACCTCCGCAAACCCTACCAGGCTTTGCAATCTGTGTCGGAGCTTCCAGCAGTGGGCCGGGCGGGGGAGGCAGGAGGACC